GGTTTGGCTTCCTGATTTTATTTTCCTTCGATATCACAAATTTAGGTGTATTTTAGACAGTGTGCATTCAATGATAAAGCAACTCATAATGTATAAATCCATAACAACTCATTATTGGTATGCCTGCTCATTTTTTAATGACAGAGGCACACACACACACACACACACACATACACACACACACACTATATAGAGGCCACTTACTTCTAAGTACCATTACTTGATCTAGTAGGTTTTGGAAAATTCATGTTTACTGAGCACCTTCTATATTCAAGTGTAACACTTTACACCAAGTCCTGGGTTCAAAGATGTTAGTTGCCCATAGTCTGTGACACCCTGCCATTCCAATTTTTTCAGAGCACCATGGCACTAAATAAAAATTATGAGCATCAGGGTTTATCCAGTGTCAATTACATATTTTCCTACTTAATCATCCCTTAAATAAAAAATAATATGCTTTACAAAAAATGGTGAATGAGTCGAAGGATAATCTACTCTTTGAGTATAAGTGGCCTAATTTAGGCTAACAGCATCAGATTAATTGAATTTTTTAAAGAAGTTAGATGCACCCTAAAGAATTGAACTGTGGTCTGGAAACACCTGCACTGTCACAACTGAGATTTGCCGAATTAAAACATGAAGAGTGTTCAGAAGGTTTGGGCACAAGCAATAAGTCTTCTTCATGGTGAAATCTTACTTTAAAAAATAGGCAGCCATCACTGCATACTACAGGATACACTTTTGAAAATTTCACTCAAAAACCCCATTTGGTGTCTAGCTTCCATAAAATGTTACATGTAGAGGGAAAACTAACTTGATGATAGTGGATAATCCAATGTTTAAGTCTCAGACTATGTGACTAACTCATGGATACTATTAGTTTAGGTATCCTTTTAGATGACTGGACCAGGAGATAACAGAATTCCTCATTTCACTCATTTTTATTCCCAGCCTCTAAGAAAATACAAATAATAAGTAGATAGTGTGCTCTTAAAAAATGTTGATGCATTAATTATTGTTTTGGCCGAGAAATCTAGAAACCTAATTAAGAAGGCTAATCTGGAGAATAAGAGGGGGCAAAGCATGGCGTGAAGTTCAGGTTTGACCCTGGCCTTTGCTTCAGCCTTCTGCTACTAGTGGAGGTCTGTTCAGTGGTACTCGTCAGTGAGAAGAAACTGCTAAGATTTCAGCGCCAGAATGCTATTCCAACGTGACTAAGAAGGGCCTAATGCCTCCTAGAAAGCTGCTCTTTGTGGCCTTAAAAACCTTTGAAAATCACCCACTTAGAGGCTCCCAGCGTACCTGCCTAACAGGCCCTCTTCTCTCTGCCTCTTCCCTCCCTTCACTTTCTTGTGATTTCAGAAGGGAGAGCAGCGGAAGAGGAGGGAGAGGGGCGGTACACTTTCTCGAGGGGAGCCGGCCTTGAAGTGCACAACCACCTTCGCAAGCGGGCTTCGGTTTCACGTTTCCCTGAGGTTGTGCTTTCATTTTCCAGACCATGTTAAGAGTGAGAAGGGGCACATCAATGCTCAAGTGAGACAGAAGCTGTTTGGCATGATGGAGAAATGCCCATGGTATTTTGCTCTACATAATTAATAGGTCAGAAATATATCAGGTGCATAGTAAACACTCAGTAAGTATTTGTTAAATAAATTAACTACTGTATAACGGAACATATGAACTTTCATAGTACTTAAATGGCTTAATAAATTTGATCCTTGGTTTTAATAAACAATATGAAAAATAATTTCAAATACTGATAACCCTTAATTACATAATTCCTGTGTATATACTATACATAAAATACAGACACTTGCTTCTCTTAATGCTAACTCTCAAATACAGAATTTTCAGTTAGATCTCACTTATCCAGCATGTTAGCAGTGACAATTTTCCCCTAATTCCTGTTTCATTTGATATTAAGAAAAATATGTTGAACCCCAATGTACTATGTATCCCCTTTATAAGGTTTTTCAGATAAACTTCTATATTTTTCTTTATGTAAATAAAATAAACTATCAATAATAAAATAATACTTAATCTGAAAATATTAAAATATACTCTTTTCAGAAAATACCAAAAAACACATCCATAATCCCACTTGGAGAAATGTAAGAGAGCATTCTCAGCATGTAAGGAAAAATGGTCTCACTATTTAATTTTGCTTTTGGGGAAGGCACATATCAGTGATAAAATTTCTAGAAAGAAGCAGTTGTACAGTAATTACAACATGAAACCAGGAGCCAGTTTTCTTGGGTTTGCACCTCAGCTACCTAAGCTTTCAGGTTTTGTGTTGATTTTCTGTGTCTCTCTTCCCGCATCTGTTAGAGAGCAATAATAATAGCATGTTCATCAACCCGGTGTTGTAAAGGTTGCATGAATTAAGACATGTAAAGTCTTTTAAATGGTATTTGGAAAATATTAGTAGCATTAAATTACTGTTAGTACCGTATTCTTAAAAGCATTATGTTATAAGGAAAGAGGAATTACGGCTGGAATGAAAGATTTAAAAGCAATTATTTTCAAGGCTTGAAATACAGATCCCCAGCCTCAGGTCTTAGTCTCTAATTTGGTTTAAAGAACAGAATGCTTCCCCGTACTTCAGTGTCTAATTATGTAAGAAGAACAAATCTTCAGTATCTAGGGTTAAAGCTTATGATTGCAAAACCTACTACACTAAGCCTAATGCGAGATCAATATTGAGGTAATAAAACAACCACTTATTCTTTTAGACTTTACTGTTAAATCATTAAGGGATTGTAATTAGTCTTTTCAGAGCTGCAGAGACATAGTTCATACTGAAGCATAAAGATACAGAGAACAAATTTTTCCCATTAGACCTAACATATATATTAGGTCTAGCAGTCATTTTTTATTAATTACTATCCCTGTTTGGAACACTTAGCTTAAGTTCCTTTGGTTCTTTAACACTAACAAAATTATTAGAATTCTATAAATTCAAAGCAGAAAGCATTTACTTGTGGTAGAAGTAAATTAGGATCTTTTAATTGGGAAATTTTCCTAACCACACTGTAAGAATTGTCTAAACATTTGGCATATCTGTTCAAATTATAGAAAAGTTTATTAATTTAATGCACACTGGGGGTACCCAGTATGTCAAGAATAAAGAGAATAAGATAATTTTTCTTTTCTCAAAGACCTTGTTGTTGAAAACCTCGCAGCCCTTGTGGTGGCTGCTAGGATCGAGGGACACCCAGGGCCCCGCTGAGCACCAGAGGCAGTGGTCCAAAAGAAGCCGCGCAGGCCGGGAAAACTATGGGCTCCAAAGTGTGCCCAATTTCTGATATTTTATATTAGAAATCATTCACTAAGGAAGATAATAATGAAGATAAAGGCAGGCCATGTCCAAAATATAAATAAAGCTTTTAAGAAATTATTCCAAAAGTGAAAATATGAAAGAATGACAGGAGACACTGCAGAGGAAGAACATCAGGGAACTTGGAGTGCAGCCTCAGTGTGACTGGAACGCGTCCCCCTTCCTTCCCAGTGCCCCGAGCCCGACACATGGCCATCGCTTCCTTCTGTCCTTGAGATTTGCATTCACACTGAAGCCCGGGGCGAGCCTTTCCTGAAAAGCACTGGAGTGGTGCCAGATGGCCACATGTGACAGGCCAGCAGCGGGATGTAACCGGTACCTGCTTCCAGGAATTTAGCAGGCCAGGTTTCAGCTGTTGGCTTTGTGTCTTAAAAATCAGACATGCTGTTTATCTAATCTGGGGTAAGGTCTTTAACTTGAAGTTTACCTTAAAATTCTCATGGAAGTTGTGAGAGTTAAATTAGATAATTGGGGAAAATATCTAAGAAAAACTCGGTAAATGTACTTTTCCTCTTAGGTATGCACAAATAATAAATTCTACTTTTACATTGAAAGGAAATGAGCTCTAGAAGGGCTCCAAACCTGAAGAAGCAATTTTCATGTTTGATTAATAAGGAAGAAGTGAGTAGAGAAATTGCATAAGAGTATTAAGAGTTGAGAACAGATTGGCCTTTTTCAAACTGCATATATTCCCTATAATGCCCTCTTTTCTTTTTGGGAATCCCAGCAATTGTAGCAATAAAGGAAACACTAAGTAGATACTCATGAGAAAAGCTGTTTAGAACATAGTTCCTGGATGTAGTGCAGTCCCTTTCTGGCTTTGTCACTTTTGTGCAATTTATGTAACTTTCCTCTGACTCAGTTTTCTCATCTGTAAGTTGGGGATACTAATAGCCATTTAGACTTTAGACTTTATAGGGTGGACACTGCATGTAGCAATCGACTAAACTTAGCAAAGTACAAGGCACCTAAGTCTTTAACATATGTCACATGTTAATAAGGAACTGTTTATGCTTTTAGTTCCTTTATGAGTAATTTCCTGATTTCTTTCAATTAAGTTCAGCAAATGTTTAATGCATGCTGCAAACACTGTGTGAATGATTTTCAAATATCTGCTCTTAGGACAAGATCTAGTAATATACAAACAACTACAATCAAAGGCAAACTTTACCAAAGGTTCTTTGGTGAAGTTATACATAATCTACAAGAGGTAGAATCTTCAATTCTATATGGAGAGCAGAAAAGGTTTCAAGAAGAAAAAAAATGCAACATAAACCAGAGACTAGAGCTTGTCTTTTTGATATCAGTATAATTGGAACATGGGTTGTGTTTATGGGTTGGAAGAGTGGACTGTAGATATACAATAAAATTAAACAAGGAAAGCCATCTGATGCCATGTTATTAAAGCAGGGCTTTATGAAATATCTGTGTAAGAAACCCTGGCACCCAGGAGGCGGACCGCCTGCACCCAGGAAGCTGCACAGTGGCAGCACCGGCCTTTGGGCCAGACCCTAGCCATGCAGGTGCCCGGGAGGCGGGCAGCCTGTGCCTGGGAAGCTGTGCGGCAGCACACACTGGTGCATGCCGGCCCTCAGGCCAGCCGCCACCGCGCATTTGAGAACTACCATGGCACAGAGAAGCAATGACACAATTGGCCCGCCACATGCCGGTTGCGGAGGCTCACGCGGGGACGTGCGTGAATCATCCTGACATGAAGAAACCCCTGGGAACACATGCCATACAGCAGGTCACTCTTTCCCCTGCTGTTGAGAACCAGAAAGATCCAGAGTCAGCGGAGGGGCAGCTGCTGCACAAGGACTCAGAGAACATGAGAATACAGATTGCGCCCGAAGACGCAGAGGTCTAGTTGACCGCAGTCACGAGAGCCGTTCAGAAGCTGGAAATCAGGAGGACCTTGTGCGATACCTGGGGAGACCTCCTGGAAGCCTTTCTTCCCCTGACAATACAGGCTGCGGTGGAAGAGCACGTGGAACTCCAGATAGGTCTGCACCAAGATTCCTGCTGCCTGTGCTGATGGTTGGGGAGAGGACACTAAGTGGTTGTGGGGTCCCAATACGATGGGAGGCTGGAGAGAAAAAGCTACAAAAAATGGCTTTTGCCCCAGATGGCTCACTTAAGATGTTAGTAAGAATTGCCTCCTCAGTATTCTATAGCCGTGATGAGGAGGAGGCCAAGAAGACAACACAAAGAGACCTAGAAAAAGCAACGGCTTTTGCTGCAGCACTAAGAGAAACAGACCCTAAGTCTGATTCCCGAGGCCCCAAGAAGAACTCGACGACTGCATTCATCTGCTACCACTGTTAAAAGCTAGGCCACCTCGAGAGGAACTGCCCTAAGAAGCCCCATGGGCCATGCCCTGAGTGCAAAGGTGACCACTGGAGATCGGTCTGCCCTCTAAAGCAGATGCCCCAGAGCTCAGACCCCTCCTACCAGTTAGTCCAACAGGAATGAGGGGGCCTGGGGCATACTCTGCCTTCTCCCTCTGCCCAGACTGTCATCTCCATCGAGGAGCCCTGGGTAATCATGACTATGGAGGAAAAAGAAAACAGCCTGTTGCTAGATGCAGGTGCAAGTCTCTTGGTCCTTCTTTTCAATCCTGGCCTTCCTTCCAGCCGTCCACCTCAGTGAAAGAAGTCACTGGTAAGGAGGTAATACGCTATTTTTCACAACCCTTAGGCTGTAACTACTTGTTAGATCTTTCTTGCATATCTCTGTCTTCCTGAGAAACCACTTTGAAGGTACCACCATATATTACAGCAACCACTGATATTTTCCTACTAATCTGTGCATAACACTGTAATGTTTGTATTGTTCCTATGCTATTTCATAAATGGGTGTATGTTTATTACTATGTGTTTCTTACAGCAACCACTGAGAATAGTCAATGATTATTCAATTGGTCACTCATGTATAGCTTTATTTATTTTCTTTAGAAACCACTTGGAAGATACCAAAGTATAGTACAACAACCATTGATAATCTCCTACCACTTTTGTCTGTAACTCACTGTTATTTGTCTATTTATTTTCCTGAGAAACTATCTTGTAGGTAACAATATGTAAAACAACAACCATAGATAATTTCCTACCACTTCGTCTGTAATTCATTAAGCCCCCCCATTACTATGTTATCCTTCTTTTACTCTTTAAAATAAAAAATAAAATCCCACATTTCCTTGATAACTAAGGCCCAGAAAGGATAAGTGACTCACCCAAATTCCAAAAGACAGCAGAACAAAAAAGAGAGAAAAAGGCTTCTCCTGGTTTGGAGGCCAGCATGGATTTCCTTCTATCACACTGCCATCTTTTAATTTGTATCTATGCACATTAGTTTATGCATGAAATGTAGTGTCTAGACCTTTAATAATGTTACAAGTTCATTCTGACCTGTTTTTCCTTTAATAACACTAAAACTGTTGATGGGTTTACATAATCTGTATTTTTGCAACTTGATATAATCAAGTTAATCTAAATACATCAAAATTAGGTCGAAGGTAGCTTTATAGCCCATAAGGCTTTCTACTGTAGCTTCACTTCTACTGTCAATATGTGAAGGAAACCCTTTTGCCTACAAGGCAAAAAATACTATAGAATGTCATTAAAGATTGTACTGCAGAAAATAGAAAATTTCCTTGTCACATATGTTGACCAGTGACAGCCTTCTTGTTGGTCACAGTTTTTAATGAAATTGCTTTGATCTGCTAATATTTTTTCCAGCTTGAATTTCATATCCATACATTATATTACTATTTTAAATTTAATATTTTATATGATTTATATTCCAGTCCTCCTGTTTTCAATTTGATATTAATATAAAAATGTCCTTTTGAACAATTGAAGCTCTGTTCTTTGACTTCTTGTGACATTATTTATATCAAAACCAAGCTTGAAATTTCTTGTACAAGTGTTGTTCTTCAGAAGGAAGGATGCTGCTAATTAAGTCATCCCACTCCAGTGACATGAGCTTTGTACCTCCCACCTTACAGTCCCCCTTAGTGCAAGAATGGCAATTTTTCTCTTTTGCAAAGTTATGTTTAAGTAACTAAGAGGCATCTCAGTTTTAATATTTCCAAAGCAGAATCTTAGACTCCTCTTGGCCTAGTTTTCTGTCTTCCGCATCCCAGGAAATAGCACTGCTGACCGAATTGCTCAAACCCCAGATCCTTAAGTAAACCTAGACTGTTTTCTCTTCTTCACAGTCAACAGGTGAAGTCCTGTCATTTCTGTTTCCAATCTATATCTAGAGTATGCAGATTTCCCTACAGCTCTGGCTCTACGCTTTAGAAGAAGTTGTCACCACTATTCTGGCATTCTGGATCTGCCAAACATACACTAGCCTGTAGGCTCCATGAGTGAAGGGAGTTTCCCCTTTGCTTTGCTGCTATATTCTTTACATTTAGAGAAGTAACTATCACTTACTAGGTATCAATAAATATTTCTTGAGTTTTCAGTAGCCTTCTAAATGTTCACTCTGCTTTGCTTCAGACTCACTACAGTCCATCCTCAATGTGACAGCTAAATGGCCTTTGAAAAGATATTTCAATTTCTATAAAATCTCTTTTTTAACCTCCAAAGTGTTTTTTATCTTGCTTTGAATAAAATCCTAACTTTTACCATGGACTTGAATTCTCTGAAAAGCCTGATCCTAAATCTCTGGCTTCATCTTATGTCACTTCTTTCGTTTGATTATGTTTGTTGCCTGATTTTTATGTGGTATTTTTTTCTTGGCAGTTCAATCCCTGTTTAAGTGACCCCTAGCAAGAGATGTCTGCTTTGATCTGAAATAAGAATCCACCACTGCATTAAAACAGCCATGTTCTTTAGAAAATGTGTTTTTGTGGTATTTTATTTTTTACCTGCCTTCCTCAACTAGAATGAAGTCTATAAAGTAAGGACTTTGTTTTTTAATACAGCCATACTTCTAGGACCCTTAACAAGGCCTACTACTTGTAGGCTCTCAATAGGTATTTGTTGAAAGAATAAATAAGTAAATGAGATATCCCTCTTACCCTTCTTCTTTCTCTCTCTCTCTCTCTCTCTCTCTCTCTCTCTCTCTCTCTCTCTCTCTCTCACACACACACACACACACACACACACACACAGAACAGCATTTTCATCCTTTGGCTGTATCTTCATTGGTACACTTAAACAGATTACAGAGTAATCACCCACAAAATCTAATAGTCTTTACTAAAGAAAGTTTAACTTATTTTTATATCTTTTGTGTTGAGAAACTTTTGCTCGCCTTTCTACAGAAGATACCATATTCACCTTAATGGGACACAAATATGTAAAAATGAGATAATAAGTTGTTATTTGTATGATCTCAGATCAGAGTTCCACATGCAAACTATATATACAAAACCTGAGAAGGCATACAGGAAAGAAGAAAAATAATGAGTCATGTAATCTGTCTTTAAATGATATATTTAACATTCAAATTAACAAAAGAAACCCTTTTATATTTATAGAAACCATACATTTAAGATAATGTCTCTTTATCTTATGTGAGAATTATTTTTAAGAATTTACAATTAGAAAATTTTAGTTAAACAGAACTTTGACCTAAACACTACGCCTATTAATTGATGCTATTTGGATATTATTGTCTTTAACTGCTATTTACAGCTCTTAAGACAGAAGACTTTAAAACTAAAATTCGTGGCTTTAAGATCCATGAACTTCAGCTGTCATTTACTGTTTGTGACTGCTTATCACTTGCAAAATGAGGGTAATTACAGCGCCTAATTTCTATCCCACTTTAGAAAGTTTTAAACTAAATGAGTTCAAAATTAATGAATCAAATTGATTAAGAAGTTTAAACAACATTTTGTGATAGCAAGTACTAAATGAAGTATTTGTTAAATTAAAACTAAAATAATGTGGATTTAAGTGGAAATTTCAATCACACACAAGCACCATGAAATAATGATGTATTAGTCAAGACTGAAAGCTACTATTCGGCATTACTGGAAAGAGGAGAGCAGAAATAATCCGACATTTTGCATAACCAAAGAATCATGCATAGGGGAAAATATAAAGGTCTTGATGTACTTTTTGTTCTCTAGAAAACATTCATCTGAAAAGCTGAAAGATAATGCCAGATTAATCATACATTACTAATTTTACCAATAAAATAAATTATCAACTTGTTGCAAAAAGATCTCTTAGGAAAAGACTATAGAATGATGTCCTGTTAATTTTTAAAGCGAACAACTAGGAATGATGGATGGCCAGTAATGGCATTATCAAAAAAATCTTTCCTGTTTCATGAAGTAAATATTGTATCTTGGTTTTTTTTTTTTTTTTTTTGGTTTTTCTCCGGTACCGGGAACCGAACTCATGACCTTGCACTTGCCAGGCAGGCGCTTTGCCACTGAGCTAAATCCCCAGCCCAATATTGTATCTTGCACAAATAGCAAAGTTTTAAATCAAACAATCCTTTCATTTATTTATTCATATTAAGTTTATCAGTACACTTTAGATACACATAATGATCCCATTCATCATAGGGAGTTTGTACCTGTACATGATACATCTTGATTCCTCTTTTCTTTCCAGTCTCCTCCCCTCCTGGTGAGGGAGTGATGGAGCTGACATATTTGGGACACTGAGGAAAATGGGTAGGTGGGGTGGGAGACAAAGAACGGAAGAGAAACAGCACTTACAAGGTGTGGGATGCCACAGGCTCACAGCAGGCTGGTAAGTAGGGTGGATGTATTCATATTTTGAAAGCAGAAACCGTCAGACTTCTAAATGATTTTAACTCTGGACCAGAGAGGAGTCATAAGAAGGGGAGAAATCCACTTCGTTCCTCCTTCAAAACATACTGATGCTCTGTGAGTCTTGTTTATAGGAGTAAATTGATCTTCTGTGTCTGTCATTCTCAGCTGCCTATTCTGGCATCATCGGTGGTCAGCCTCTACTTCCTTGAACTCACTGATGTCTTCAAACCTGTACACTCTGGATTTAGCTGCTATGACCGGAGCCTTAGCATGCCATACATTGAGCCCACCCAGGAGGCTATTCCATTCCTCATGTTACTCAGCCTAGCTTTTGCGGGACCGGCAATCACGGTAAGAACTGCCCCGAAAATTGCATTTGTAAGCACCCCAAAATGAAAATAAACCCCTGTGTGTAATCAATAAGTTAAACAACAAAGGCAAATTCTAAGTCTTGGACCAGAAAGATCAGGTCTGACGTATTTTGACAGCATCTTGTAGCTTAAAATTATTGGTATTAAAAGTTAAAAAAAAACCTATATGATTTCAAAGATGATTGCCCTCTAATGATAACTTTAATGAATCATCCTGAGAAGTTTATAACTGTACTCTTCTCCTTGACTGGGTAATACGGGACATCTGATACACTGCTAATCAATGCACTTATCCTGTATTTATTTGCTATCTGAAGTCTGGACAACAGATAATTGTATACCAATAGATTTTCTTCAAAAAAGTGTTTTAGTATCATTTAGTTTCATTTTCTGTAGATTAGCACTTTATATTGCATTTGAGCACTGAGCTACAATTACAAGAGGTCAGAATTCCTACACACAAACAGAATATGATGTTTTCCATTCAGAATGGGTATTTACACTATAAAATGAGTGCATCAAGAAACACCCTAATCAAGCTGGGTATGGTGGCACACATCCGTAATCCCAGAGCACGGAAAGGCTGAGGCAGGAGGGTCACAAGCTCACGTCCAGGCTGGGCAACTTAGCTACTTGGTGAGATCCTCTCCCAAAATAAAACTTTTTATCAAAGGCTGAGGACACACAGTTCTGTGCAAAGGCCCTGAGTTCAATTTATACTTCCAGGAAAAACAAGTACCCTAACCTACTGCAACTGAATTTAAAATATAAATTTTTATGTACTAATGCAGAATATAAAAATATACTTCTAGATAAATTCATTAGTAAGTAAGATTAGTCAAGGCTTTTCATCATCTCTTCTGGCCCTAGACTGCTAAGGGAGGGATAAGATACATGTTTCACAGGCAAAAATATTTACTTCTGCTTGTAGGAACTCATGAAAGTCAGAGCAAGAACTCACTAAATTAAAAGCTGCATTTAAATGAAATTTTTATAAGGTGCTCTAATGAATCAGCTTATTGAATTTCAATACAATAACTTTAGAAAAAATCTCTGCCAAGACTTTGTAAACTCTATAATCTTTATATTCTATGAATTTGTTTTAAAAATTCTCTATGCTAGATAATAATTTGAAGAAAAACAAATGGCCAATGAATGCATGAAGAAATGTTCAACCACTGGCCACTAGAGAAATGCAAATTAAAACAACACTGAGATTCCATCTCGCTCCAGAAAATCTAGTTCACATCAAGAAATCAAGCAGTAACAAATCCTGGAGAGGCTGAGGGGTAGGAACATTTCTTAATTGCTGGTGGGAGTGTAAACTGGTACCACCACTGTGGAAATCAGTATGGAGATTCCTCAAACAACTAAAAGTAGAAATACTATTTGACCCAGCTGTTCCTCTTCTAGGTAGCATCACTAAAGAATTAAAGACATCGTACCACAGAAATGTATCCATATCCATGTTTATAGCAGCACAGTTCATAGTAACTAAATCTTGGGAGCAGCCTATGTGTCCATCAACAGACGTATAGATAGAAAATGTGGTATTTACACAGACTGTGCCATTCGGAAGAATGCACTTAGGTCACTTGTAGGAAAATGGATGTACCTTGAAACCATAATATTAAGTGAAGTAAATCAGACACACGTTTAAATACTGCATGATTATCCTTATATGAGAAATTCAGTATATAAATAAAGTGCAAACTAAATGACGGATAATAGGGAAAAAGAGAAAAAAAGTTATTATAATCCAGCATGGACAGTGTATCTAAAAGTGTACCTTGATTTACTATAATTATCTTATGTGTTTTGTGTGTTTTTAGTGTGTTATTCTCTATGTATGATAATTAACTTTATAAGCACTTATAAGGTAAATAAATGAATCTGATGATAGTCAAAAATAATCGTAACATACTGTTTGCACTATAAATAAATTATATAAAATAATCACAGACGGTAAAACTAGAATTTAATTTCCCATGAATCTTTATCGTTGGACTTAAATGAAGGCCTCAAATCACTTTGTAGATTACAGTAATGAGTTGCTCAAGCCGCAGTGACTGCAGGTTGATTAGAATTGTTAATGATATGCTTAGAAGTAGTTGGCATCTGAGAAACGTATTTTTAAGGGTGATATTGCTTAAAATAACAGGAACTTAACGTCATTTTTTCTAAAAAACTTTTAAAAATACACTTCAATTATTGGGCTAGAGCAGAAATACTATTTCCTTTAACACTATCACACCAGAAAGCATTTCTTAATTGGGGTACAGTGCCCAAATTTATTATAATTGACATATTTGAAATAAAATACTATGCAAATGTTCATGGTTCTGCCGAAAAGACTGTTAACATTTAATCACATAAATAATTTGCTTTTTTGTGTCCAGAAGTCTTCCACTAAAAGACTTAAAGCAAGTCTATTGGGAGGACCCCAGCCAGGACCATCTGTCTTGGGGTAGGGCCAGTGACCTTGGCCTCATCACTGTGTTCTGGCTTCTGCTGATTCCCTCACTTGCAGCAACAGATTTTTAATATGCCCTTTGGGGTTCCTTTCTAATTTTTATGACACTGGGAATTGAGCCCAGGACCCTCACACTGAGCTAGATGACCAGCCCTTATAATTTTTTTTTTTTTTTTAAGTTTGAAACAGCGTCTCACTAAGTCATTAAATTGCCCAGGCCGGCCTTGAACTTGTGATCCTCCTGCCTCGATCAGTGCACCAGCATGCCCGGTTGAAGACTACAGTTTTTAAGCACTCAATAAGGCACAATTTCAGAATAGTTCCTGTTTTTCATTTTGTTTGTTTCTGTGCTGGGGCATGAACCCAGGCCTTCGCACTGAGCTACATCATCAGCCTTTTTCTTTTGAGGCAGAGTCTTTCTCAGTTGCCCAGACTGGGTTTGAACTTGCAGTCCTCCTGGTCCAGGCTCCCAAAGCGCTAAATCACACACTCACAGAGATGCTTTCTTTACTGAGCTCTGAAGACTGGAGGGGAAATCCACTGTGCTCCTGTCCTCTGAGCTCACCTGGAAACCCCGTGCCAGCTCCCTGCACAGGGCATCCCCACAGGGCCCCAGCAGCTGTCAGGCCCTTCGATGGAAGGAGACACAAACCAGGGTACTATTTGCAGCCTGGACACCCAGCTGCTTACATATCGCTTGAAAGCTCCAGCGTATTCCAAGGTGTTGGTGACTGCTTTCTGCCACACTGGTTTCATAGATTTTGAGTAGACAGCTGGTTGGTGAGACAAATTTTGACATTGCTGAAGTTAAACACTATTTTTCTCACTTTTCATTCAAAATATATTCCATATTCCTAGATCCCATTCGAGTTTCCTGTTTCCCTCTATTTCTAAAGCCTCCCAAAACATACCTTTTCTCACTGTAAATCTGAGGATGGCTGTAGTCCTCTTGTTCTAAGACCCTAATTCTGACTGTAATCTTAGTACATTTGCTACTTTTCTAACTTTTTCTCTCTTCCTGAAAGTGCAAATAGCAAATTCTAACCTCTGCCTCTCAGTGCTGCCATTTTCTTTTTCATCTTCATGGCAGCATAAGCCTGTTTCAGAAATGGGGTCATGAGCCAGGCGCACACCTGTGATCCCAGCACTCGGGAGGCTGAAGCAGGAGGATCGCTGCAAGTGCGAGGCCAGCCAGGGCTACATAGTGAGTTCAAGAGCAGCCTGAACTGCATAGTGAGACCCTGTCTCAAAAAGAGAAAAAGAAAAAATTATATACCACAAATAGAGTCATGGAGCAGGGAGGAGGCAAGAGCAAAGAGCTTTTAGAAGTGTGAGCACAGAGGTTTCTGTTTTCACCCATTCACGCGGGAAGAAGGCAGGACAAAAGACCTCAACCAATTTTTATGCAAGCATTTAATATACATCATTTAGTATTTGCTTCTCAGATTTATTAATGTTTTGAGATGTATTTAAAATTAGCTTGTGTTCATGATGTTCTACATGAACTGTAAAAATTCCTTTTTCATCTGTGAAATGCATATTCTTAATTTTATAAAATTACTTTGAGCTAGAAAATATCTTCCTTAACATTCACTTTTCATTTACTTTAGAGTGGTAACAAAATAAACATTTTGTTTAAGTCCTATGGAAAAAGCAACACAGAATGTCAAGGCCCATCATAAATCTTCATGCAATCTACATGAACAGAAAAAAATGTGTGCTTTTGCTCCCTGAAAATACCATTTCATTACATACTGTTTTAAGAATGAATGCATCTAATTTTGTAGGGACATTCCATTATCATTTGAGTACACTGCTTGGAGGCTGTCATGATTTGGGGTATTTTTGCAAGGGGAAACAATATAATACAGGACACATGGTTTATAAGATTATTTATAATAGTCACACAGTGAATGATATACAAAAGAGTGCAGGAAATCTATCCACACACTAAGACCAAGGAAACTAGCCGAGGGCCGGGATCCCACAGAAATGTCCTGCATGAGTCCAGCTGAAGACCTAGAGCTCATAACAATGCCTCCCACAAGTCCAACTGGAGGCCCAGAGCCCACAACAATATCTCATGCAGGGCTATTTCACGGATCTGTGCTGGGAAGGCCCAAAGGTCAGTGATGGAAACTAGAAAGTCTGTCGCAGCAGGATGAAGGACCTGTGTGAGCAGGCTGAGGGACCTGCACTGGAGCCAGGAAGCGACACTCAAAGAAAGAACCAGAGTTTCTCTGAAAGGTACCACAGCCATGCTCAGCAACAGTGAGGTACTGAGCTCCTCCAGTGATCAAGACAGCTGAGTTCCCACCAGGAAACCCAACGCAGCAAGCTTCTCCAGGAGACTGAGCAGTGCACCATCTTCCCCTCTGGAGCCAGGAAGCGATGCTCAGAGTGAAGAGCAGGGCTCCCCCAAAGTGAACCAAAGCCATTCTCAGGGCCTGCAAGGTCCTGAGCTCCTCTGAGGATGAAAACAGCCAAGTTCATCAGGAAAGCCAGCATGATGAGCTCCTCCAAAACAACCAACAGCTCCTTACAGCTTCTACCAGCTCCCAACAGCCTTCTCAGTTCCCAGCAGCCTAACTTCTTCTCCAGTTCTGAGTCTTGTGCTGCTGGCAGCAGTTCTCAGGTGGGCCTCCCACACCCAGCACCACGCTTACTCAGTTCAGCTGGGTGACCACCAGTTGTCAATCCACTATAGAGGCAACCCTGTCCCTAGGAGACTATAGAAGCACAATATCGAATATTAAACATACCAGGAGTTTTGTAGGACATTCACTGGGAATGTAAACATTAAAGACACCATAATAAACACTGGAATGTTTTTATCAGTTTATTTTGTTTACAAGGAAAGCATTTTAGGAGGATTGGGATGCAGCTCAGTAGCACAGCTCTTGCTTGGCATGTGCAAAACCCTAGGTTCAATCTCCAGTATAGGAAAAAAAAAAGACATTTTGGCTGTGAGTTACCCTTATGGAACAATTCCAAGAGCAGGACCCTTATAGTAATAAGAAAGACATTTCCCCACAACAACTCCCCTGGAAGCAGAGTCATTACAGAATCTCTTCCCAAAACCATGACATCCATGACATTCGGCATAACAATAAAATGATTTGTGTTGTTTCTTTTCAAACTTGGGTGCAGCACAAAACAGCACATAATGAAAAGATTCTTGTCATGAACTATTTTATGTTCAGAAAGGACAGCAGCAACAAAAAATTTATTGTTAAACATGAACTCTAGTTTCATACTGTAACACAAGAACATACCACCCCAATGGGGGAAATAAGCAGGTGCATTTAGAAATGCACTAGGAAGTCTCTCCTCTTACCCTGAGAAGTCCCTTTAAACCAAATTCAATCACTTTGAAAATGCAGGCAATGACACATAGGTCAAGGTTAAGAGAATAGAAGGACGAAGAAAATATTAGTATGTTCCTCATTAAGAGGGAGACTTGGTGATATAAATACTGACAAGAAACCTCCACCCATATTGCATGAACAAATGAAAGAATATTGACATACTCCCTTGACATAAGAGTTCTGAACGTACTAAAAAACTAAAACAAAACTCCTAAAATCTCAAGGTCCTTTGAGACAACTATTGGGATGTATAAGAGACATCGTCCTAGTAACATTCCACCAGGAAATTCTTACGGAATTTAACACTCACTGACAAGTGTGCATTGTTACACACATAATTGAGAAGAGAAAAACAAAATTATTTACAGAACTTTTATTGGGGAAGTGAAGATGAAATCAATTTTAGTTATACAATGCCTTAAAGGAATGGGTGGTTAATTTTCTACAAAGGATGAATTGAGGCGGTGTTGTATTATTCTATGAGTCAGTGAAATATATCCTGTCTACAGCAACCACAAAATCTCGAGCATGCATTTTTATGTCTGACTGAAGTGATGATGCAGGACAGTCTTCAAAATATACAAATATATTAACTCCATTTTCAATTATTTGAAATAAACTCCTTCTGACTATTTCTATACTGATGAATCAAAAGATTTTATCATACTTCCTGATTTTCACATGCATGATTATTGGCAGAGTTCTTCTAAGAAAATTATTTCTCAGATTTTTGTGAGGATTATGATTTTTCATAATGGTGTATATGCCACATTACCTATAGAACTACATATAGCAATTGCAACATTTGAAGCAGTGGGGAAGAGGCTTACTGCCACCAGTTAAAAGCTCACACTATCTTCTTTAGCATTTTGTTTTGTCTTTTTTTCTTTTGTCTTTTTTGAGACAGGATCTCGCTATGTAGTTCAGACTGGCCTTGAGCTCACTTTGTAGCCCAGGCAGGTCTCAAACTCACAACAGTCCTCTTGCCTCGGCCTCCCAAGTGCTGGGATTGCAGGCTTACAGGCATGCACCACCACACCGACTACAGTGCTGTCTTAGTTAATTGTAACTTTATATTTAGTCTTGACATCTGGTAGTATAGCTCTTCTGGTTTTTTTTAAGAGCAGAATATATTTATTGAGGGAAAGAAAGCTTCTGTCCAAGAGAGGGACAGAAGAGGGGCCCGAGTGGGTTGCCCTCTTCTTTAGCATTTTACAAAATAGATCCTAAGGCAATGATGAGAATTTGGAAGTTTCACTGGGAAAGCTAACCCTAACCGTAATTTTAGCTCTAAGTATGGTTATGATCTTTACAGGATCTCTTACATCAGAGACTGTTGTTATCTCATGAAGCCCTGCTTTCTTCAGCTCCATACATTTTATACAAATCAACGTCTCATTTCATAACGTTCTGGGAGAACAATAATCCCAAATATTTGAAAACACTGCATAAATCCAACTTATAAATTCAAGCCTAACTGCTATTCTACAGAATAACTAATAACCTAAATGTCCAGGGTAGGAGGCAAATATGAATCCATAGTAAAGGTCACAAACAATCCAAAAAGATCAAGCAATGAGAGTAAAAGGTGTATGTGAAATGTGTCCTTGCTCAGTGTCCTGGACTAGTGGGAAACAATCAAATGAACAACTAAAGTCCACTTGAATAAAGCTATGCTGGAGGCAAGGATGAAGCCTACTGGAGCCACCTAACTCAATTTAGGGTACAGGAAGAGGGTTCAAGGAAAAATTCCTGAAGTAAGTGATGCCTGAGTCCTATTGAGTCCTTCCGAATGACTCATTTTTAAGAACTCGGTATGACTCAGGCATCATTTCCTTGAGTCACTTGTAGAGAAAGGGATGCACCTTGAGAACATAACGTTAAGTGAAGTCAGTCAGACACAGAGCTTAAATATGACTTGATTCTCTTACATGAGAAACCCAATATATAAGTGCAGTCCAGAGAAACAAGGGACAGAGGGAAATAGTGAGGTAGTTCTTTGGCACACAGAAAGAGAACCAAAGGTGGAGTGAGGGGGGAGGGAGAAGAAGGCAAGGAGATTAATTTGAAAAGGAGGGGGATGGTGAAGTGCTGTGATTGTGCACTAAGTCCCCATGAGGAATGTGATCATCATGTACTACAAACACGATATATATGGGTGAAGGGGACCAAGAGGAGGGATGGGGTAGAAGGGGAAGGAGGGTTAAGAAAAGGAATTGAGAACTGTCGCAATACGTACCAACTCCCCATGATGAATGCAATCGTAGTGTACTACAAATATGTACCAAAAAAATTGAAATCTCATATGTCGTAAATCCCTACAGTAAAGGGCATTGTTCCTAGACTTAAGATAGTCCTGATACGGTGGTACGGTTCTATGTCCATTATGAACATGTTGTCTAAATGGCTTATCTGTAGGAAATACTACCCTAGATTCTCTTGTAATCTGCATTCTCCAATAAGATAGCCACTAACCACAAGTGACTATTTTGTTTTTTGGGGTTTTTTTTGGTTTTTTGGTTTTTTTTTGTTTTTTTTTGTTTTTTGGTTTTTCTCCGGTACCGGGAACCGAACTCAAGACCTTGCGCTTGCCAGGCAGACGCTTTGCTGCTGAGCTAAATCCCCAGCCCACAAGTGACTTATTTTGAGTTTAGATTTATTTATTCTTTTACATGAATCCAATACAAAATGAAACATTCAGCTCATCTGTTGTAGCTAAATTTCAAGTGCTCAGCCACCACATGTGGTAGTGTCTACCATATTAGACAGTGCAAAAAGTAGTTTCTGTCTTTACGGAAATATTTATAGGACTACTGTGCTCTATGTAGTGCCTCCTTACACACATATTTTCCATAGATTCTTTGTTCTGTTAAAATCCAAACCAGTTAGACCTAATCTGCTAGTAAAATACGCTGGATCCTAATTCTGGTGCTTTATTCCTCCTTAGTTATCCTGTTTTCATGAATTTAGAGGTGAAATGCAAAGTCTCTAACAGGGTAGAATCAGCCACCATGTGATTAGTGAAGGAAGCGTCACTGGGTGTTGTTGAGCAAAGAGTTTAAAGCTTGATTGCTGGGACCTCATGGATATGCCAGAATGCATCAGAGTACAGAAGAGGCAGCCAGATCTTCTCGCGGGATCTTGGTTGCTTACCTGCCACTGCTAGCCCAAATACTCAGGAGAAATTGCTTATGCCTCTCAAAATTTTAAGAGAACACATCTTTGCTTTGTTGAATTGATGATGTGCTGAGACACAGTGTATAATTCTTATATAGTTAATCTAACAAGTATACCAACACTCTTCTGCCCTCCCCACCCCTTGTCTTCGCAGATTATGGTAGGGGAAGGAATTCTCTACTGCTGCCTGTCCAAAAGAAGGAACGGAGTTGGACTGGAGCCCAACATTAATGCCGGAGGCTGTAACTTCAACTCTTTTCTGAGAAGAGCCGTCAGATTTGTTGGTGGGTGTGGGGAATCAAAAAGAAAGGGAGTGCTTTTTCCAACAGAAATGTTGTAGTTAATTACAGATATTAAGTCTCTAAAGCTATAATTTAAATGTGTAATTTCAGCACATGATGAGTTTTACTTTATAGAAGAAACTGTTAAACACCAAAATTTAGGCTTTGTATCTGAAATGTATTATTTACAGTCATGGTCCTTGCTTTGAGGGCTAACATATCATGCATTTCAGTGTATTTTTGTTTTCACTTTAGTTAAAGCATGAATTTATGTTAAAGGATTTTGCTGAATGTGAACTCAGGTTTTTTTTAATGGAGATTAAATGTCAGCAGGCCAGTATGAGTAAATAACTCTTCAGAAATTAGTCACAGCAGTGATTCCATTAACTGAAGTTTTTTGTTTGTTTGTTTTTAATCCAGAAGTTTCTTTACTGGAAATGTCACCGTAGAATACTGCATTGTAGATATTTTTCCCTGGCTTTAGTTTCTAACTTTACTTCCTATTTTTTGTGAAACTTAAAGACAATCTATAGGCTTGGCCAAACACCAGCTGAATTAAGTCAGTTTCTAAATGCTTATCTCTAAAGCATGAGATATCTTACTGAATTTTGAACCACACGCCTTTTTTTGTTTGTTTAACTGAGTTGATTGGTCCTCTACAATGCATTGCACCAAACTGAATGCTGTGTATTTATTTCAGGTAAGTCAGTATAAAGTTACTTTTACCTATGCCCATTCAAAGGAATACATAGCTTCACTTAATATCAGGTTGATAAATAAATGCAGCTTTCTCATCCATGAGGGGAAACATCTTATCTCAGTGATTCTTCAAATTTGGCTTCTCTGCCCGTTTTCTTACCATCACATAGAGATGGTAAAGAAACAGTAGAACCCTCAGCAGGATTTGAGGCAAGGGAATAAAACTCCAAGACACCTGATTTCAGAGAAAAGTTTCCGTAACATAACAAAAGGCTTGGGAAAAATTGAAACACTGCTGTCCCTGAAATGGTGTCAATAACCCTATCCTCCGTAGGCCTAGAGATTCTCATCTTCCAAAGGTAAAATAATGATTTTACCTCCTCATTTTAACTCTCCACCAAGATTTTGTCTGCTTATAGGATTGAGAATGTAGAAATAAAGTTTCTGTCTCATACATCCTGGGTGCAGGTGGAGAAGGAATTGGAGTGGTGGATAGGTGGCAATAAGCAGAGAAGAAAGATGCAGAGCAGGATAGTGTGCAGCCCGGTGCTCTTGGTCTGGAGGGTCTAGTGAGGAATTACCCAGGTTCTTCTCATAATTTCTGTGAACAACTCAAATAAGAATCCAGGTGTTCAAGTCAGAATGAATTCAAGGAGCCAAGTTGACCTGCAGCGATGTGACGAGTTCCAGGTCATGTGTGTAAGAGGAGAAAGCTAGGCTCCCAAAAGGAGGCCAAGGAAGCAACTTCGTGACGAGTTCCAGGTCATGTGTGTAAGAGGAGAAAGCTAGGCTCCCTAAAGGAGGCCAAGGAAGCAACTTCGAGGAGGCACAGAGTTTGGGGGCCGAAAGTCCGTCAGGATTTGTTACTTGTGTTTTAAGACTGGCCCCAGGAGACAAACAAAAGATGATGGAATTTGGACAAAGATACTAGGACATCATCCCCAAACGCCAAACTTGCAGGCAGCAACTCAAGAAGTTGTTGCTTCCGTGACAGACCTACCCACCCTCTTCTCTATTTAATTAGCAGCCTTACGTGACCACAGCTGCAGTGAGAAGGGCTGGAGATCTAGACCATCATGATGACATCCATATGCAGCAACTCAGCAATGCTCAGCAGTTTAAAATAATTTCTAATTTTGCTTTGTTCCCCACATTTAACCCCTTTCAAATCACACAGTTGATCACCTGAACGTGCTCCAGGTGACTGACAAGCGACCTTTGGAAAATAATGTTAAGAACTATCTCTAAGAAAGGTGACAAAATGGCCTTAAATTACTACTTCAAAGAATACTTACTGTTCTTATTTTGCCCTTAAGTATCTAGTTAGATTGGGGTTCTTTTTAGTACTACTTTTTCAACATTAGTTGTTTAGAGAAAACAGTCGAAACAGATACTAAAGCTGGCTTATCAAGATGTAATACGCATTAGTGAGGTTGACACAATATCAGCATTAACCATAACTTGGTGATTTTTTTTCGTTTTCTCGCAGGTGTTCATGTGTTTGGACTGTGCTCTACAGCTCTCATCACGGACATCATACAGCTGTCCACAGGATATCAAGCTCCATACTTCCTGACCGTGTGCAAGCCAAATTACACCTCTCTGAATGTGTCTTGCAAAGAAAATTCCTACATTGTGGAAGACATTTGTTCAGGATCTGACCTTACAGTTATCAACAGTGGCAGGTTAGAAACGGAGACCTAAAAGCATTCCATCTCAGGGCTCTAACTATTCAGTAATAGGTTGGAATACCACTGCAAGTGTGCCTTTTTCGTAATAATGAGTTTGATTTTGTTTTTCTTTAGATTTTCAATTTAAGGATATTTCTGACAAGGATAAATAGAAATGTACATTTGGCCCATTCCAAACCCTCTCTGCCTCCAAATGCCAGCTTCACCGTTAGGCTACTGTCCTCCTAACACTGCCTTCCACTCATGTTTTGTTGTCTGTGCACTGTGATTTTAGGTTACCACAGTGAACTTACTATAGAGTATTTACGGTCTGTTATGGCTTACTGAACATCTGTCATCGTTGTATCTTCACTGTATTCTTATCAAAAGAATCATGTGAATTTTCTCTTTGGTTAAGTTTGAGAAGAGGTAATATCAAGCTTTATTTGAGTAAACCCAGATGACCTTAATAGCTCTGGCCTCACATTTCGGAAAATAAGGAACAGTATAACTCAAGGAACTACCCTGAACTTTGAATGCACTTAATTTTTTCAGTCCAATAAAGTAAAACTAAGTTCTATGACAGGGAAATTACCTGAGGAGCTAAAAATAAATAGGTGAAAGAGGGAGAAGGGCCATTGAATTTGTCATTCAGTGAGCTCGCGAAGATCTTTCGAATGGAGAAAGGCAAGTTGGTGCGTACAGTTGAAGCATGAAAGCCTGATACTTTGTGATTATATACATTCAGCTTCTCACAGACAGTTCAGTAATTCTGGACCTGTATTCAAGACCTGCATCCTATACTCTTTCTTAATCCTAGTACAGTACCGGTGTTGAGTAATAAGGCCAAAGAATGAGGAGAGCACTAGTACGTGTGGGTATCACTTTTCCCTCTAAGTCTTTGTAAGAATCCCGGTTGTGTTTGGCTGCCTTTTTCCCACGTGTTTTTCTTGATCCTGTGTTTCAGCCCTAGACCTTGCTCTTTCCGTTGTTTCACTAAATACAATGCTCTGTGATTCTTGAGATAATTCCTTGAAAGCAGAATACGCTGACAGACATTTTGTTAAAAATACACTGCTCTTCTGTTTTCTAGAGTATAAAAAATTCAGATCTACAGCTTTAAAAACATAATTTTGTCTTTTTAAATGTTTATGTAAATGAAGCTATATATTTAGGAGCATATAGAAGGTTTTAAATCTTTAAAACCCTGGCTTTTATGAACTCTTAGTTCAACTTAATCCTAAGAATACTACTATGAAGAATACTCATGCTGAGGATAACTGTGTTTTCCAACCCAATTTCTGTTTCCAAATGTCATTTCTGTAGCCCGACCTCGTGGCCTCTTGTCGAGCTGGTATTTACTCAAACTGGAAAGTGGATCCTACTACTCCTTAATGTTAATGGTGACGAGACGTGGGTTTTTTGAAACCATTTTTTGTTTCCCCAGAAAACTAAATTAAATGCATTGTCTATTGCCTAGTGGCTCTATGTTGAATATTTTAACCGCCCGGTGTTCTTGAAATGATTGTTAGCAGTGTATCTGAGCTAAAATGCATAATTTGACTACATTCCTTTTGGCAGGAAGTCATTCCCTTCTCAACATGCGACCCTCGCTGCCTTTGCAGCTGTGTATGTCTCAGTAAGTAACTAGTTCTTTTTTGTTAAATTGTGTCCCATAGAAAAACCACAGCAGTAAGTGTTGTTTCCAGATAACTGATTAGGTTGTACACTTCAGCACTGCATCCCTTCAACGTGATGACATGCAAAGCAAAGTCAGATGCATTACTACTAGAAAAATAACACAGTAAAATAATTTTTCTGCACAATCATAGTGTTTATTTAGCCTTGCATCCTTTTAATACAATATTATATTTTGTGGGAGGGTACTGTGAAATATGTACAGGTTACAAATACTAAACCTGAAAGAACTGCAGTAAATGCACACAAATACACAGATACATTGCTTTCAGTATTTGTGTAGCAATGGAGAGCTCTCAGCCAGTGTAAATTGGATAAATGTCATATGGTGGATATTCATTTATCTAATTAATATAATGTCCCATGAAGTTTTTGTGGAAAAAGGTCTAAAATTGTATGACGAATTTCATGGTGATTAAACAGATGTCTGACTCACTCTAATGCTTTAATTTTTTCACATTTTATATGATTCAATAAAATACTTGTTAGATGAATTTTGCCAGGTATTTCCTTTCTTGGCAGGTAGAGAATATAGTCAGAGCAAGGGGAAATGGAACTGTAAATTTGGTGTCTACTGTATCACTTACACTTCTGAATTTAACTTTTTTATTTGATTAGAATTGTTTCACAAGATGACCCTTCTAACATACTTAACCCGCGTCTTTCATTTTTAAGATGTACTTCAATTCCACACTAACTGACTCTTCTAAGCTCCTGAAACCTCTGCTGGTCTTCACATTTATCATCTGTGGAATCATCTGTGGACTGACACGGATAACTCAGTATAAGAACCACCCAGTTGACGTCTACTGTGGCTTCTTAATAGGAGGAGGAATTGCACTGTATTTGGTAAATAATTTATTGTTGTGGTTGTTGTTATTTGACCAACCACAGTTTATAAAGAAAAATACATAGAATATTTTGCATGACAGTAATTTAATCCAACATATTTTATATTCATGAGAAACTCCCTGGCCACATCTCCACTTTATGCCCAACGACATATCCCACTTTCAGTGAGTAAATTTATTGAATTCTTACTGTGAGTCAGAATTGTGATGTGAGAAGAATTACTGTATTTTATCCTTACAGCTGGGGGAGGTAGAGAGGGAGGGGTTGGGGGAGGTAGGGAGGAAGGGAGAAAAAGAGACTATGATCACTAGTATAGTTATCATTTTACAGATGAGAAAAGTGAACATTATTGAAAATAAGGTTAGTGAAAGTGAAGAGGGTACACAATTTAGAGAGAGGTTGCATAATTTGCCCAGCCCAAATGTAGCACCTGGATATAGCTACTTTCCAACTAAAAGTAAATTCTTCAACAATGTGTTACTTTCAAATCTGATCTCTGAGATAAATATATGCCACATACAAAAGTTGAGATTGTCCATTTCATTCAGTCATGTATTCATTCATTTTACATTTATTCAGTGTCTAATTTTTGCCAGGCACAAGGCTGAACATCAAAACAGTGAAAAATAAGATGCATTTTGAACAATGAGAAAACTAACAGAAACGTGGTTATGATGTGTAAAACAATGTGATATGGTGTAAGAAAGTCCTACGAATAGTGAACTGCTTAAGGAGTAGAGAGAAGCCTGCATGGAAGTGATGCACTGTTTTAAAAAGGAAACGGAGAGGAGCTGATACAGGAAAAAAGTAGTTGCTGATAGCTGCACCTGAAAATGGCATTAGAGAAAAGGATTACAAAGAATAGTAAAAGTACTAACGTATACAGAGGTTTACTTCTAATTTAGTAGAGTCAGAATTGTCACTTTCAGTCTTATACTTACATGATCTCTTCACTGGAGGAGAGGGGGTCACATGAAAGTTGGTGTGTAGACATCGTACACAGGCTTAGGTTGTCATGGGAATCTTAACTGGCAGTGAGTGTTATGGAAGAAATACAAAGGCTGAGAACTGCTTCTTGGTAGGCTTGTGCTTCTTTTGCACATTTTGAAATCATAGCGTTCTAGAGTTTGCACGGGCTATTCAGATCAAAGGATTTGAACATGAATTTCAATTTTCCTGCTCGTTGGCCAAGTTAGGTAGCCTTTCAGAAGCCGGTTTCTCCATTGCCAAAGTGATATGATCTGACCCATATGATAACAATAACTAAACGATTATATCACCGTAGGTGGCACTGGGGATTGGGAAGTAGAGTCAGTGCTTACGTGATCTTGGAGGTTTTACTCGGAAGTTTACTTATATGCTCTTGCAGGTTTTGCAATTCTAAGTAAAACTATTAACAGAACATTAGTTAGTTCAGTCTGACGAGCTCGGGTGGTGAAACCAGGAATTTTGTTTGTTTGTTTGTTTTTCTCCGGTACCGGGAACCGAACTCGCGACCTTGCGCTTGAAACCAGGAATTAAAATAGCTAGAGACGCAGGAGCTTGAAACCGTTTCATTCCCGTTCGCACGCTCTGCTCTGAAATGGGGAATTTATCAGTTCGAAACCCACGCTGTTTTTCATTATGAGCATTCGTAAAATGTTAAATCCACGAAACTCCATTGCTTACACTAGAAAAGTAGACAGTGGCAACCTTCTGTTGAAATTAACACAGAAGGAGATATCTGCTGCTTGATCTTATCTCTAACTGAAGCTTTTTAAAACAGTGAAAACCTAGCAGAACTATATCTCCTGAATATACAAAGGGTAATGATTTTGAGTCTGAACTTCAGCGTTTTCCAAATTTAACGCAAACAAAAATTGGTAAACTGTGTATGAAGACAAGATGAAATTTGGTTCCTATTTAGGTCAGTGGCACCACTTAATTAAAATTGCCCGACGGAAGGTCAGGTTTTAATCAGGAGGAATGTGCGTGCCCAGTCTGGTTATCGACTTTGCCCGCCAATAGCACTCCCTACAATGCTGATCACACTAGGCAGAACCCAGTGTGATTCGTAACAGCACCCGTCTCTGACCTCGTTTCAAACCTGGCATCTGCTTTAGGAATGGTCCATTGTTCTATATTTTCTGCACCTTTTCAGACTTCTGTCATACAGCATGATTGAAAATGGAAGTAAAATAAACCATTTGAGCTATTTGAGGTGTCACTCAACAAGAAGTTCCTAAATCCAGAAGAATGAATTGCTTTGAAAGGCAGAAAATATCCTTATTTCTCTCATTATCTGCCTTCTCAAAATACACACAGGGTGAAGGGCATGGTGGTGCACACCTGTTACCCCAGTACTCAGGAGGCCGAGGCAGGAGGATTGCCATAATTCTGAGGGCAGCCTGGGCTACATACAGAGTTCAGCGCCAGCCTGAACTACATAGTGAGACCTGGTCTGAAAACAAGCAAAAACCTAATGCAAAACAAAACAAAAAATGCATCGGGCAAGTGGCCAAACATCAGAGGAATGAAGAAAAGAGCAAGGCCTGTGCTTCTGCGCAGCTAGTTCACTGACCTATGAGACAGCTAATACAATGTTTCCTTTACTAAGTGTACCTCAGTTTTTTGTTATTTGCATTAGTGGGTGGTGTACAGGGGACGCAGACCTTTTTCGCGCCCACCAGCGGGATCTGCTCAGGGCATTCTTATAACTGTGCCTTCTAGTACTTGATAGTCTTGTCTTCCCTTGCATGCCAGGGCCTGTATGCTGTGGGGAATTTTCTGCCCAGCGAAGAGGGTATGTTTCAGCACAGAGAAGCCCTCAGGTCTCTAGCAGACCTCAATCAAGACCCCAGCCGGGTTTTATCAGCGAAAAACGGCAGCAGCAGCGACGGCATCGCCCACACGGAAGGCATCCTCACCCGCAACCACAGAGACGCCAGCTCCCTGACAAACCTCAAACGGGCGAACGCCGACGTGGAGATCATCACCCCTCGGAGCCCCATGGGGAAGGAGAACATGGTGACGTTCAGCAACACCCTGCCCAGAGCCAACACCCCGTCGGTGGAGGACCCCGTGCGCAGGAACGCCAGCATTCACGCCTCTATGGACTCCGCCCGGTCCAAGCAGCTCCTCACGCAGTGGAAGAACAAGAGTGAGAGTCGGAAGCTGTCCCTGCAAGTCATGGAGACGGAGCCGGGCCAGTCGCCGCCCAGATCCATAGAGACGCGCTCCAGCTCCGAGCCGTCCAGGGTCGGCGTGAACGGAGACCACCACGGGCCCGGCAGTCAGTACCTCAAGATCCAGCCCGGCTCCGTGCCGGGCTGCAACAACAGCATGCCCGGGGGGCCGCGGGTGTCCATCCAGCCGCGCCCCGGCTCCTCGCAGCTGGTGCACATCCCCGAGGAGACGCAGGAGAACATCGGCAGCTCCCCCAAGAGCAGCTCGGCCCGCGCCAAGTGGCTGAAGGCCGCGGAGAAGACGGTGGCCTGCAGCCGCAGCAACAGCCAGCCGCGCATCATGCAGGTGATCGCCATGTCCAAGCAGCAGGGCGTGCTGCAGGGCAGCCCCAAGAACAACGAGGCCAGCGCCGTGTCCTGCACCGGCTCCATCCGCTACAAGGCGCTGGCGGAGCACGAGCCCGGCGGCATCGTGCGCGTGGAGGCCCACCCCGAGAACAGCAGGCCGGTCATCCAGATCCCGTCCACCGAGGGCGAGGGCAGCGGCTCCTGGAAGTGGAAGGCGCCCGAGAAGGGCAGCCTGCGCCAGACTTACGAGCTCAACGACCTCAACCGGGACTCGGAGAGCTGCGAGTCCCTGAAAGACAGCTTCGGCTCCGGAGATCGCAAGAGAAGCAACATTGACAGCAACGAGCACCACCACCACGGCATCACCACCATCCGCGTCACGCCGGTGGAGGGCAGCGAGATCGGCTCCGAGACGCTGTCCGTGTCCTCCTCCCGCGACTCCACCCTGCGCAGGAAGGGCAACATCATCCTGATCCCCGAGAGGAGCAACAGCCCCGAGAACACCAGAAACATCTTCTACAAGGGCACCTCTCCCACGCGGGCCTACAAGGATTGAGGGCTGGCCGTTCCCTCCCGAAGACCGCGCGTGGATTCTGCCTGTTCCAGAGGGTTAGGACGCTTTCTCACCCAGTTAGGTTGTTCGCCATCAGCCCGGAAGGCTACCAGCTCGTGAGAACTACCATGCTGAACTTGTAGACTTTACATCCAGGGAGGGGTGAAGCACAATGCAAGAGCCTAACCAATGCGACGATGTGACGAGTTTCCTTGCTAAGACCCGTCGTCCAGTTTCAAAGGTTTTGCAGAGGGTGATATCCAAAGAAAGTGGTTTCCTTCTGTATACTATTCTACTTCCTGAATGTGCCAACTTGGGAGATTTTTCTTTATAATTAGCTGTGGGAATCCAGAACACACAGGTTCCCCCCTGCAGCAGAGGCCATGCAGTATTATATAGTCACTTTGCAGAATCTGCACCTCAAACTCAGTATGGGTGGTGCTGGTCATTATAGTACATATACCGTGTAAACTCTCGGACTCTCTTTAGCTGTGAAGTAGTGGTGTGCGAATCCTTGTCGAAGAAATGCTACTTTATTAAGAGGATGCTGGCTACTTTGTGTTAGAGTAGGATACCTACAGCTTCCCCGGTAGTGGCTCTCACAGTAAAAAGAAAAACAAAATGTTTCATGTGCATTTCTTCAAAATTATGCTTTCTTCAACATCAAAACTTGTGTAGGAATATTTTCAGTGAAAGGGAATAACTAGTACTTTTTCTGCATAGTTTTCCTGCTGCTTACTTTTTATTTAAGTACAGGTACTGTTCTTGAAGGATCTGTTTTTTGTGAGTAAATTTGCATAACTTGAAAAATATATTGTTTTAGAGACTCTTTTGAAATCGTTGTGATTATATTTTGCATTTTATGGCTTCTCTTTAATTTATTACTTAATTTTGTAGTGTTCTAGATATGTTCTATTTTAAGAGCAGAAATAACAATTGACATTCCTTGAGCAAAATAAACTGCTGTGAAGTTACACACAAGAAATCTGAGCCAAAACTTGACATTGTGGGTGATACTGCCAGATGCGTTGGTTAAATCGGTGTATCCTTACGTTTCCAACTGGCCACGTTAGGCTGCCATCTTAACGCGTAAGTAATCCAAAACTCTCAGTTTGTCCCAGATTACTTCTCCTTTTCAGTATCCTGACAACCACTAAATTAAAATCCCAGTGGTTAAGTTTTAACCTATTCCTTAAAATATTTCCATGAATTGAGCACCAACAGAAAGAATCTGGGCAAAATGCAACACGATAATTAAAAGTATCTCACAGTATAAATTAAGAATGCATCTCTTCAAAATATCTGAACAGGCGCAGCTTGGGTGCTTAACAGGTGATCAGCAGTTCTTGCAACCTACCTTGAGTTAAACCTTGAGCCCAAATCAAAGGAAACTAATACTGACAATGAAAAGACAAAACAAATATTCTGAAGCATTTTCCAAGTTAAATATTTAAAGTCTGAAGAAATATTTGGTTCTTGGAATTTGGCATTAAACCTTTTTTTTTTTTTTACACCATGTCTTAAGAATTCTAATGTACACTTGATGATTGATTGCCAAGAGAATAAAGGTAAACAACGTGGGCTGGCTGATCTGATCTTAGTTCAGTTTTCCGTACGAACAAGAGTTGTTCGGATATGAACAGCATCACATCATTATCAGTTTCTGTGGGAAAAGGGCAGGACTCTCAAGAGAAGCCAACCTCCTAAAGCATGAGGATTTAGCTGAAACCAGCAAAACCGAAACCTTGGCAATAAAATAGACTCCACCACATCCCTTCTGGCAGTGTCCTTCTCAGAGAAGGCGGTGGGAGTAAAATGCTGCCTTCCCCACTGCGTACCATCGCTACCATCGTGGCACCCCTGCTGGCTTCTGCCAGTGTATAGAGGGCAAGATGGGCTGGTTTTAGTACTCTGAAGAAAAACTAAGCTGCAGCATTTCCGGTGCAGTGTGATATTTCCTAATTTTTCATACTTCTTAACAAAAGATTTTAAAGTACTTCTCTAGTCATTGAGTTTTTGTTCTTTACATAATATTGATACATTCTTTTTCTACTCAAAGTGCCAAAGGCTACAGTTTTTAATGACTTAACTAATTGTACCACATTGTTAAGGAAATACACAATAGACACTATAACTCAGACCTCTGCATGTATATTTGATAACACATCTTTTATAAAAAAATTACAAAAAAATTTGTTTACATTCCACTGGTACCTTAATTTAAGATAAATCACACTAACAGGTGGTATCTCTTCTTAGTGTTCTATTACCTTATTTGCAAATGGGAGCACTTCTTCCTTTGTTAGGCTGTGCTTTATTGATAAAACGAAGTATTGAATAAAGAGAGTTAATTATCTTTTTAAAGTAAATAAATTATGAAAATATATAATATATATATAAAGTATTGTGTTTAATAAAATGTTATGCAATGTTTTCCAAACTGATAAAGTTTGTAAAGTGCTATAAATGTATTTTGTTAAGTAAAGATCAAAGCTATTGTGTGAGTATATTGTGCTAACATCATAGAAATAAAGATTAGATTTCTTCATCAAAATTGAAATATTTTGGTTTTTAATTCAGACAGAGTATGAATGAATAATTACTTAGCTGACAGGAAACCAGATCAGGATCTAAGAATAAGTCAAATTGTGTCAAAAAGAGAATTACACTAAGAAGTTCGTCAAACATGTTTCTTGTTCACAATTTTTAGTTTATGTTTACTAAAGGAGCTCTTTTACACTTACTTAGATGTAGATTATTTTACTGTCAATGGCTTTATAAATATGCCAATATTATAGAATATTAAAAAGAAAATATGAGTCAAGATTAAGTGTTTAGAGTCAATTTTTGATGAAGAGTGGTAGCTGTGCATATTTCCTGAAATATTACCACCCTCTGTGCACCCATGAGCATGAATGTTGAAGCTTTTCTTAAAAGACTACATCACTCTCTTCCAAGCTGCTAAGTACTCATTATATGAGTTTTACTGCCAATACTTCTCTTCCTCACTAGAAGGTGTTAATGCAGGTTTTCAGACCACAACCAGGATTTATGCTTTATGATCTTTAAGGGGCACGGTATGTAGAATGAAGGATGAAGTTAAGAGTTATACGGGAATACGACCACCTTCAAACAGCTGCCCGGCACAATCGAGTTTATTGACTACTGGCCAACTACATCATGATTGCTGCCTATGGAAGCATTAAAACCTGTGAAACCACAATGTCTTACTTATAATGGCTGAAATACCTTTCTCAGTTTTGAGCATTTTCATCTCTAAAACAGGAACATTCAGCTATATTACACTTTATAAAGGATAGTTGGAAGTCCCTTCTAAGTGTCCATGAATTAGCTTTGAGCAAATTATTGATATAGCTTTGAGCAAATATAATTAGCTTTGAGCAAAATATTTGATATAATTAGCTTTGAGCAAAATTATTGATATGATAATGGAAAATAATTTGCTGATCTAAGATGACTAATTAATGTGCATTATCTTCTTTGACCACAAGATTAATAGAGGCAAGCTGATCTGACCTGCAGAGAGCCTGCACCGACATTTTATCACATAAGATACCATGATAGGTGACTTATACATGTGCACGCCTGCTCCAGTGCTAGTCTCACAAGGGTGCTGGTGAGCAGGTTCTCAGTTACACACCTAAAAAGTTATCATTAGGGAAATGTAACTTCTGTCTTTTAAAGACTGAGTCTGAATTTAATGTCATTTTTTATTATATTATAGGATATTTTATATTTTATTATTTTTGGTCACAAGGAATGTAAAAATTTATGCTTGATCCAGAGCATGATTTAATTAAAATAATGTAATTAAAAGAAGGGAAAAGGAGTGCCAGGGATATAGCTCAGTAGCACAATCACCTGCTTGGGAAGTGCAAGGTCCCAAGTTCAATTCCTGATACAAAAAATAAAAAGGAATCAAAGTGGCTTAATCCAAAAGGAAAACATGGCCTGCGAAATAGATGATTATCTGCTGATGATACAGTGCTTAATTTTTTCTGGTGACTGTATATACCTCCTGCTTTTAATTCTCTGGAAAGCTTTGAAAATAATCCAGTGCCAAATATTCCACTTTGAAGACAACGTAGAGCTCAGTAATAGTATATGTATTATGCTAGCTAATGTCTAGTTATAGAAAATCATCAGTGAGAATGCTACCTACTTGCAAGAAAATATTTAGATGAGCTATTTGAGCTAGATGTATCATTTCACTGCTCAACTGTTAAGTCAACGAAAGCCCCTGATTATGTGTATTTATGCACCGCAATCAGTAATGAAGAATGGAGATTGACTGAGTGCAACTACCTTTCTGTCACCCATTCTAGTGAGCAAACTTGCTGAGCTCCCACCGCATCTCCTCCATATTCCCTTCCCTTAAGATTCTTGATCACCGCCTGTGAGAAAACCTGTCAGAATTCTAACCTTTAAGGGAATTAATTTGAACAAGGAAATACATAAAAATTGTATTCATAGGAAATCTTCTTTTCCCTTAATCACCTCATTTCCAACTCAATCTTCCCCATTTTGGGTCTACATTAATGACAAGATATTTATAAAGATATAGAATCTTTTTTTGTAAATTACCACAGAATGTGTCAAAGATTTAAATATGAAATGCAAATGTTTTTATTAAAAAATGAGAAAATCCTTGGTTTCTAAGAAGAGTCTTTTATTAGATACTGGTTTTGGAGTATTTTCCCCCTAGTCTATATTTTATATTTTCTCAGCAGGATCTTGCCTTTATGCCTCTAGGGATCTCCTGTATTGATGTATAATTGACAAAAATTTTTATGTGTTTAGGTGTATCCTGTGGTGTTTTCATATATCTATACATTATGAAATGATTACCACAATGAAGCAAATTAACATATCACCCAAAAAAGTACCATTTTCTGTGTGTGGTGAGAATGTTTAAGATGTCCTTTCTTAGCAAATTTCAAATAAGAAGATAGTATGAACTGTAGTCACAACACTGCACATTAAATCAGAAATTTTTCATCCTGCATAAAGGAAACTTTTTATTCTTTGACCAACATTTCCCCACTTATGCAAGTCCTTCGTGCCTGGTAGCTACCACTGTACAGTACTTTCTGAACAGAGTTTTGCATTAAGCAAATGTTCTTAATTTTGATGAGATCCAGTTTCTTTTCCCTTTAACGGCCATGTTCTTAAGGTCGAATCTAAAATGTATGAAGAACGCTGAAAACCCAACAGTTAAAAGAGATAACACAGTAAATAGTAAAATAGTAGAAGTACAATAAAGTGGGCAAAATATGTAGGATATTTCACCAAAGAGGTTATTCAGATAGCACGTAAGCAGTATTCAATATGGTTAGTCATTTGGGAAATGAAATTTAAAACTATGATGAGATATTACTACACACCTATCAAAATGATGAAATTAAAAACAATAATATCAAATGCTGGTATTAGTGTAGAAAACCTGAATTATTTGTGCATTCTGATGGGAATGGAAAAATCATACAATTCCCCCTGGGAAATGGTTTGGCAATTTATTTTAAAAACTAAATGTTACCTAGTAGATACAGTTCGGAGCACTTATTCCATAGAAATGGAATTATTTGTCTACAAACAAAAAAAAAATACATATATTCCCGGGCTGCTTTTTCAATAATAGCCAAAGACTGAGAACAATCCAGATGTCTTTCAGTGAGTAAATGGTTAAACGAGCTATTATACAACCATACAATGGAATACTATTCAACAAGGAAAACAAATAAACTATTGATACACACAACAGTTTGAATGAGCTTCCAGGGAATTATGCTAAATGAAAAAGCCAACACAAATCGTTTTTATATGCTATATGATTCCATCTCATGAAGTAATATACAAATATAAGCAACCCATACCTAGAGAGGTATAATTATCATAATTTTCTAGAAAGGATAGGGACAAAGTGCAGGAAGTCAGGACAAGCAGCTTCATCAAGATGACACAAAAATGGCATCCATCTTTTACAGTTCACCACTTGAACCAGCTAAAATCTTTCATCTTTCCTAAAGATGTGGAAGAATGCTTCCTAGGGTTTTAAAATCCTCTTTTATCCTAGAAAAGTAAATCTCAATCTTTTGTGCAATTTTATAACTGAAAGGGACCTCAGAGAGCCCTACTCCCTTTGTGTCTGATCGCTGTAATTACCTATGTTTCACACCGTAGAAAAGTAGAGAATACAGAGAAGTAGTTCACTTGGCCACATAACTGGTGGGTTTCAAGAGCTCAGAGGAACAGAGAGCACTGACTTCTGTTCACTTTTTAATCCCTCATGACTAGCTCACCACAGAGATTGGGAACCCAAGAAATGATTTGAAATGAACGAATCCTCTTAAACTCTCAAAAAGGATACTCTAATCTTTCCCTTGAGAGAATACTGATAGATTTTTCGTGAATGATCAATATATTTACTTAATCATACAATTGCATTACTAATCAATTTGATTCATGAGGAATTTAATATTTACTACAAACTAAATTGTAAGCTCATGATAAGTACTTCCTACCATAACAAGTATTCAATAACTGTAAGAATAATTTAATGAGAGGGGCTGGGGATTTAGCTCAGTGGCACAGCGCCTGCCTGGCAAGCACAAGGTCATTAGTTCGATTCCTGATACCAGAAAAAGAAAACAAAAAAAAAATTTTAAAAATAATTTAATGAGAACAGTATATTCTGTGAATAATAAAGTCATTAAAATAAGTAAAAAAGGAATTTAACACATAAAGGAAGGAATAAGCATATTTGAGAGAGACAGAAATGGTTGTCCATTTGTGCCCCGAACTTCCACAGGTCTCAAAACTCCATTCCAAAACTTTGTAGCCAAATTTTTGCTGTTTGTTTTTAATGTTCCTATTTGAAGCATCTTTAAAAAGTGTTGCCATAGTATAAACCAGATCTCTGGGAACAAACTGTCTCCTTATAATACTTGTGATTGAGCGACAGTTGTTTGTTCAAATGTTCCACCCCCACAATCCTCTCTGTAAAGGAGGCGAGTGCCAGTAAAGAGCACCTTCTTATTCTATCATTAAAAAACCCTAGGAAACTCAAAAATTCCTCTTTATAATCACGCATTCAAGATTATTTTTTAAACTCAAAATGAGGTATAAGAACCAAAGACCTATAATGATTTCTTTATAGCTAGCATCCCACCCAATCTACTACCAGGATATTAGAATTTTTTTAAAATTTTGAATTAGTGAAAGAGTCTTTTGGTAAACTCAGTTTTCTTGTCTTTACAATACAGGTTATAAACTAGAGTAGCTACAGAAATTGAATGATTAGCTACAGGTAAAATATTTAAAACATCAAGTGGCATTTGAGCTGTAGTACATAAGTATTATGGCTTATGCTCTAGCAGAATTATGTGACTTTTTCACCTCTAATCCTTACCTTTCCCTAGAATTCCGGACTTAAATCCACTACTTCCTATTTGACACCACCACTTAAATATCCATATGCAATCTGTGAATTTAACAGGTTTGAAGTACACTTCTTCATTCTATCCCCCAATTTGA